GCAGAGAACCCACGCTGAGTACAGATTACCCACCTAAGAACTGACTGGGGCCTTGCTCCCAGGCTGGCTGTCAGCTAAGAGACCACCTTGCTCTGGCCTCAGAAGCAGGTTCTCCTGCTGAGATTGTGCACCTGCCCAATGCTGACAGCCGGGCTATGGAGGAGCCCAAACTCAGTGTTCGGGCTTGAGGCAAGGAAGCTCCTCCTGCAGAGCTATGGTGGTAGCCAGCTGGCTTGAAACAATCCTTTGTTTACAGACTTGCCTCTTATTTCAGCTAAAATTTCAGGTTCTGATGAAAATTTCACCACTATTTCTTTAAATAATTCTTCAAAAGTCTGAGCACCATTGTTGAGTGCATACTACCAAGACTTTACTTGTTTTCTGTAACCCTAGTGACAGTGATCTGTTTATGATTCCATCAGGTTCTTAACAAAGTAAAACAAGCATCTGTTTAATGTATAACACAGGAGGAAAACAGCAACACCATAGTAGCAACCCTGAAAAGCAGCATTAAAATTTTCACCTCCATTTTAAGTAGATTTTAAAAACTTCCAGGAGAATGAAACACATACAACAGGAGAGAACCCTTTTGCAAATACAGAAAAAATTAAAAAGAGAAGGAAAAGCTGGGCAATCTGCTGACTACTCTTGACTTTCATTTTCTTTTGTCACTCTAAGAAATTCGAGAAAGTCTTCTGCATCAGACTCACACATTAGTGTGTAAAAAAACAATCCTCCTTGGCCCAGGCGTGGTGGCTCATGCCTATAATCCCAGCACTTTGAGAGGCTGAGGTGGGCGGATCACGCAGTCAGGAGTTCGAGACCAGCCTGGCCAGCATGGTGAAACCCCATCTCTAAAAATACAAAACAAAACAAAAAATTAGCTAGCCATGGTGGTGCTACTTGGGAGGCTAAGGCAGGAGAATTGCTTGAACCCAGCAGGAGGTTGCAGTGAACAGAGATGGTGCCACCACACTCTAGCCTGGGCAACAAAGCAAGACTCTGTCTCAACAACAACAAAAAATCATGATTGAGTCGATTATGAAACAGTAAACATTACATGGAGTTGTAAATGGAATTTATTGGGGGCCATATTTGAGATGGCTTTAAAGATAAAACTAAAACAATTTAAGGCCAGGCATAGTGGCTCAGAACCTGTAATCCCAGACCTCTGGGAGGCTGAAGCAGGCGGATCACCTGAGGTCAGGAGTTTGCGACCAGCCTGGCCAACATGGCAAAATCTCATCTCTACTAAAAATACAAAAATTAGCTGGGCATGGTGGTGCATGCCTGTAATCCCAGCTACTGGGGAGGCTGAGGCAGGAGAATCACTTGAATCTGGGAGACAAAGGTTGCAGTGAGCCAAGACCATGCCACTGCACTCCAGCCTGGACGACAGAGCAAGACTCTCTAAAAATAAATTAAAAAAAAAAAAAAAAAAAAAAAACTAAAACAGGCTGGGCGCAGTGGCTCATGCCTATAATCCCAGTACTTTGGGAGGCCAGGCAGGAGGGTCATGAGGTCAGGAGATCAACACCATCCCGCTAACACAATGAAACTCTGTCTCTACTAAAAACACAAAAAATTAGCTGGGCGTGGTAGCCAGCGCCTGTAGTCCCAGCTGCTTGGGAGGCTGAGGCAGCAGAATCATTTGAACTTGGGAGGCAGAGGTTGCAGTGAGCCAAGATCGTGCCACTGCACTCCAGCCTGAGTGACAGAGCAAGACTCTGTCTCAAAAAAATCAAATAAAACAAAACTAAAACAAATTTTTTGTCACTTAAAAGCCCTTTTAAGGTCTACCTTACAAATGCTATAAACAGTGAGACAACTGTCAAAGCCCCATGGGCCAAATATTTCCAAACAGAATCATGATGCTCAAACTCCCCGAAGTCTCATTTAATAATTACAGTACCAAGCATCCAAGATACCTTTTCACAGCAAATCCATTCATCACAAATCATTATCCAGAAACATTTTACCTACTGGGTGGCCAACGATGTTTCCTTTATCCAGAAAGATAAACATTCTACATGAAAAGAAAACAAGCATAGGAGATGCATGTGTAGTGCCTGTATCTTTGATGGTCAAAGCTACTTTAGCAAAAACCATCTAAACTGGACACCAAAGCCAAAAGATCAATAATCTGGGAATGTCAAAATCTTCTGGGCCACCAACCTAACAGCTAAAATACAAGCCTTGTTTAACTCATAACACCCATGCTGGTTTCCTCTATTGTGACAGCCACCCTGTCCATTGTCTTCCTGGACCATCTCCATCCACTTCATGCTTAAGTAAAGAAAACACCAGTGCCACACCAGGGAAGGAAAAACCTAGTTTCTCCCAAGCTGTTAGGCATATTCATCCTCCTGAGGAAAACACAATGTAGGCAGCCCCCTGTCTCTCTCAAATGTTCCCATGGCTTCAGTCTACATTGAACTTGTTTCTCACACCAGCCAAAAAATATTTATACCACTCAACTTACGCAGTCATATACCACTTTGCACTATTGCTTGACTTTTTCACATATGCTTGTTTCAAGGTCCCAAAGACTCAAAAAGCTACTTAAAGGCAAAGACCAGGTCTTTCATTTCTTTAGCGCTGTGCATCTGATCTATAGCCCACCTCATTCTTGTATTCTCAACTAATATTCGGTTATAGGAAAAATTATAATCTGCAAGTACCTTTATTTTGTTGTTGTTGCTGTTTTTGAGACGGAATCTCACCCAGTGGCCCAGGCTGCAGTGCAGTGGCACCAACTCCGCTCACTGCAACCTTCACCTCCCAAGTTCAAGCATTTCTCTTGCTTCAGCCTCCCCAGTCACTGGGATTACAGGCGTGCACCACCACACCAGCTATTTTTCGTATTTTTAGTACAGACGGAGTTTCACCATGTAGGCCAGGCTGGTCTCCTGACCCCAGGAGATCCACCCACCTCAGCCTCCCAAAGTGCTCGGATTACAGGTGTGAACCTGAAGGTCCTTTAGAGATGTCCTAGTCTAAGCTCCACATTTGAAATGAAGTATGTGAGAGTCATTAATCTTTTACAGTCCAATCAATCAGGCAGATCTGGTTCAAATGCAGGCCTGTTTTCTCTTCTGTAAAATAGAGATGACACCTACCTGAGAAAACAGTTGTAATAATCAAATTATAGTTTCCTTTTGGTTGTTTTTCTTGTGAAGGCATAATCTTTTTGGTTGATTTTTTCCTGGTTAATAGTGCAATTGAATTCTAAGCCCAAAAGGCAGGGCTTTTTTCCTACTGTATTTTCTGACCTTATGGTTGGTGTCCAATACAGTGCTTGGTATCTTTTGAGTCAGCCATGAACTAACCATGTGAAAGAATGCATTAAACCTCTATTATCACTTTCTTGTTCAGCAAATGTGTTATTCTTTAGTTCCTTTAAGAATCTGTCTTTCCTAAACTGGGCCTTCTCAAAACAAATATACTCCCTACCCCTATCTCTTTCTTTCTCTCTCTCTCTCTACACACACACACCCCTTTCTCTTTAAAACAGGTGGGATAAAAAAATTGCCTGTCATATTTTTGGAATAAAGTTAGCGTTTTTACTAGGATATTCAGGAAAACTGATGGAGAGACAGGATTTAGAGGAATTACACATCTCCGGGGAGCTTTCTTATGATTTGCAGTATCAAGTCCTTCAGTAAAATTACTTGTCTATAACAAATTCTGGCAGAAAGTAAATCAGAAATTTACTGATGAGTTGTCAGTGAAGTTAAATGCTTCACTCTGTGTACTTCACTCTGTTCTATGAAAGCAAACAGTGACTAATAGGATTAACCTGAGCTCTAATACTGAGTGTAGATATTCTTCAACGACAAACAGGTTCCATTAGTACAGGCATTAAATTTATACTACATTTAAGGGGGCATAAATTTTGCTTTTGCAAACACATTTTACTAGAAAAAAAATTTGGTCCAGACGCCAGGAGAAAAGTGTCATTTCTTTCCTTTGCAAGAGGGCACCGACAAAACAACCAATGGGAAGGAAGAATTCGTTCCCAGACCTCTGAAGAGGACACAGCTTTCCACTAAAGTAAGATTGATACTTTCAAGGAATATTTTTCCTAACAACTAAAATGGTTTAACATATAGCATCTTGTATCAATTACACAGACACCATTAAAGCCACTCTGGTTCCCTGGGAAAGGACAGCAACTGAAATCCCTTCTGGCTTCAGCTGTCTCCTCCCGCCGAGTTTGACAGCACATCCAAGGCGCCCAAACACCAGCCACTAGGCTCCCCCCAGCGCCCTCCTCTCGCAGCAAACCGCCAAGACTACCGGGCCAAACTCCAAAGTCCCTCAATGCAAAACCGCGAAAATGTGAACCCTGCTAAGCAAACGGCAGGGCGCGTAATAACTTTCCTTTCTTTCCTTTTTGCGGGCATTCGCTATGCTTGTCTCTACTACCAACTCCTCAGGTCTACAGCCTGCTTCCCGCAACCTATCTCGAGGGGCGGAGGAGAGGGAGCGCGCCCCACCAAAGACAGGGCTGGTGAGCCCTAAAACCTCGGCGGTTTTCCCGGTGCGGGAACTTTAGCACCCATCAGCCCCCTAATAATCAGATGCAGGAATAAATCAGGGAGAAGGCGCCTCTCTCCATCGCACCCCATCCTTCCTAAGGAAGAAGAGAAGCGTGCAGCAGGAGTTTAACCGCAAGTCTGGGCCCTCTTACGGGGCGAGCAGGCCTGCAAAGCAGGCTGTCGGGAACCTGGTGGAAGAAAGTTGTCCGGCCAAGTGGATGCCTGGGCGTGAGTGAGTGTAAGGCACCCGGGGTAGAGGCCAAGGGGAAAGAGACCGGCATTCGTTTAAGAACCAACCCCGTGCGCGGCCAGCTGCAGCCGCCCGCGAGCCGACCGGGGAGGGGTGTGGACACCGAGGTCGGCGGATCTGCGCCTGCAGCTCTACTTACATAACGCTTCAACTTTTTCTCCGGGGGGGACTTTCGGAGCCATCCGGAGCAGACCACTTCGCCACCGCTCATGGTGCGCGCGTCTCGGACTCCCGGCCCCGCAGCTGAGGGGCGGCGGGCGCGCTCCCGACACAGCCGACGCCTGTCGAGCGCGCAGCGGCGAGAACCTCGCTCTCCCGGTCGCGCACTCCGGGCCGACGGGGCGGACGGGCTCCAAGGCGCGCGGGTTCCTGGAGTTCGAGTCTCTCCTCTGCAGGCCGGTGAACCTGAACAGAACGCCAGCCGGGGCGGCGGGCGCGCCGGCCTCCTTTCAGGGCGCCCGCCTAGTCTTCAGGGGTGCCGTCTCGCTAGCCGCCTCAGCAGCGCTCGGACTCTGCGGGATTCTGCCCCGACTCGGAGCAGCAGCCGCGGTCCCTTGCGCTCCGCCCCCTAGGGACAAGACCTCCCTAGAGCGCTTTCCGAAACAGACACAGCGCGGCTCACGCACACACACAGACACAATGCCCCGCGCGGTGCCCACTCTCGCTCGCCCGCCCTCGGTTTCGGTGCGACCGGGCGTTCCTCCTTCCCCTCCTAGGGGGAGGGTGGGTCACTTCTTGGCTCACGAGGAACACCGTGGACAGGGGAAACCGCGAGCCGCCCGCGGGCAGCCGGCGCGGGGCTGGTCCCGGGTCACAGAGGGAGCCGCAGGGTTGGCGGCGAAGCGCCGGGCGTCTCTGAGCCGCGGGCGCAGGGAGGTCGCAGGTCGAGCCGGAGGGTGGGTCCGCTCTCGCGGCCGCCGAAGAGGGCGGGGAGCGGCGGAGGAACAAGGCACTGAGCGGCTTGGCTCCTGGGAGGGATCCCGCTGTCCCGTCCCCTCGCGCTCCTCCCCCGCCGCCTCCCCCACCCCGGGGCGCGCGGCAGGTTCTGAGCGGCTCGGCCCGAGATCCCGATCTCTCCCTCTCCCGGCCTCCGAGCTCCCTCTTCCTCCCTTTCCTCCTCCCCTTCCCACGTTCAGGCCCGGCTCCGGTTTCTGCCCAGACTTTCTCTGAAACTCCGCCGGAGCGCTTCGAGCCAAAACAACAAGGGCCGGGGGAGGAGGCGGATAAAGGGAGGGAGCGAGAGAGGGAGGGAGCGCGAGTCCGAGAGGCACCCTGGGATCTGTAGTTCGGAAAGCAGGAGCAGGTCCTCCGCCGTCCGGCGGCCCCCAGCCGGCTCATCGCCCAGGAGGACAGCAGAGGCCTCGGCTAGGGCAGAGGCACCGGGCTCGGGGGCGGGGAGGACCGAGGCACTTTCGAATGTTTACCCGAGGTTTGCCATCTTGACTCAGCCTGGGCGCCAGTTCGGAGTTTATGCTGCGCCCGAGACTAGGAGTTTCGGGATTTTCTCTACTTGACAGCCTGAAAAGCAAAATCCACAGGAGACCACCATCCTGCCGGTCCCCGCTGCGCGAGACTAAAGGATAGACCAAGAGGGCCCGGGTGCTCCCAGCTTGGAGGGGAGGACAGATGGGGACCCACTAGGGCTGGCCTGGGCTGGTCTCTGGAGCCGTCGGGCCAGAGTGATGGGGGCGCTTGGTGGGGCCAAGGATTTGATTGGATCCTATCTCTGGGACATTTTGAAGTCTCACACTCCCTCCATTTGTTGCCTATTTCTTCCACTTAACTTTGTATTTGTTTGAAATCTACTGTTGGGATGCTGGACCCGGCGGGGAATTTGGCCGGGCGCGATGTCTCACGCCTGTCTTTCCAGCACTTTGCGAGGCCCAGGTGGGTGGATCACCTAAGGTCGGAAATTCGAGACCAGCCTCGGGAATTCGGGATCAACATGGAGAAACACAGTTTCTACTAAAAATACGAAATTAGACCGGTGTAGTGGCGGGCACCTGTAATCCCAGCTACTCAGGAAGCTGAAGCTGGAGAACCGCTTCAACCTGGGCTGCGCTCCAGCCTGGGCAACAAGAGGGAAACTACATCTCAAAGAAAAAAGAAAAGGGAAACTTACTGGGTGCCCTAGTTCTATTTGCCTACTTGTGTGTTTCACAATTATTATACCTGGTCCTGAGTTTAACATGATTCTATAATAGAAACATCTTCTCCAATTTATTTGTGAAAAAGCCCCAAAGCAAATTTCAGAAGATCATCTAATCAGATAAAAGTGCTAAAAATATGAGGAAATAAATGAACATTTCTGGAAAGACGTAACTTCAGTCATTTTCTTATTAACACAACCTTCATATTCTGGAGCTCTTCTGAGTTTCAAAATGTTAGATGATTGTAATCAGAAATTAGGTATCGGAGTGGTGACAAGACAAAGATCCCTGCATATATGGAGATAGTGGCATAGGGTAGTAAGCAAATAAAGGGCCCACAAAACTATAGATTGCTCTAAAAATGTGCCCTGAGGGAAACTGACAAAGTGAGATGAAGCAAAAATTAAGGTGGGGAAAGGGACTCTTTTGTGAGGAAGTATGTAGCCAGGGTTTTTCTTTACAACCTTCTTGAAAGAGGTTGTAAAGAAAAAAAGGAGAATCAGACTTGTTTTCTCCACCAAAATAAAAGGAATAACCCTAAGGAGAACTGAAAGAGAAAAATACAGCAACAGGATAACTTAATAGTGAGCCCAAAAGGAGACCCCTGGGAACCTAGAGGTGAGGATAGGGAAGAGTTCTGAGTAGGGATGAGGGAGGTTGCTAAATCGTGAAACTCCAGTCCCCTAAACTGGAACATTGGTAAGAGCCACTCCATTGCACTATCATGAATGGGCGTCATTCAGTAACATTCCATTAGGTTAATATCTCCTTTACTCTTATCAATGTCAGAGAATACCTTGAAATTAGAAGTAAGTTATTAACAGAAAATAAAGCTGGTATTCCAATGCTATCTTCAGCTTATATAACAAGTATCATTAATAGAAAATACATCCGAGGCCAGGCATGGTTGCTCATACCTGTAATCCCAGCACTTTGGGAGGCCAAGGTGAGTGAATCACTGAGGTCAGGAGTTCGAGGCCAGCCTGGCTAACATGGTGAAACCCCGTCTCTAATAAAAATACAAAAATTAGATGGGCGTGGTGGTGAGCACCTATAATCCCATAATCCCAGCTACTCGGGAAGCTGAAGCAGGCGGATCACTCGAACCCGGGAGGTGGGGGTTGCAATGAGCAGAGATTGGACCACTTCACTCCATCCTGGACAACAGAGTGATGCTCTGTCTCAAAATAAATAAATAAATAAAGGAAAGGAAAGGAAAATAAAAGAGAAAAGAAAAGGAAAAAAATAGACAAGACAACATCGGAAAAAGCCTGGTTCCCACTGGGGTTTAGAGACCTTAATGTTTTGGCAGGTACTTTACAGTATCACAAGGGCTGAACTTCCTGCAGATCTGGATGCACTTTTCAAGTCATCAACTTAGCAGTCATGACCTTGGGTAAATTACACAATGTCTCTGAGTCTCAGTTTCCCGATATGTGAAATGGGAATTGTAAAACCAAGTTTGCAGACGTTTAATGAAAAATAGAAATGGTAGCGTTGGCCAGGCACAGTGCTCACGCCTGTAATCCTAGCACTTTGGGAGGCCAAGGAGGGTGGATCGCCTGTGCTCAGGAGTTCGATACCAGCCTGAGCAACGTGGTGAAACCCCTGTCTCTACTAAAATACAAAAAATTAGCTGGGCATGGCGGTGTACACCTGTAGTCCCAGCTTCTCTGGAGGCCGAGGCAGAAGAATTGCTAGAACCCGGGAGGTGGAGGTTGCAGTGAGCCAATATCACGTCACTGCACTCCAGCTTGGGCAACAAGAGTGATACTCATCTCAAAAAAAAAAAAAAAAGAAAAGAAAGAAAGAGGCTGGGCGTGGTGGCTCACGCCTGTAATCCAAGCACTTTGGAGGCCAAGGCGGGAAGATCACCTGAGGTCGGGAGTTCAAGACCAGCCTGACCAACATGGTGAAACCCCATCTTTATAAAAAAAAAAAAAAAAGAAAGAAAGAAAGAGAGAAAAAAAATGGTAGTGTTGGCCATGCGTAATTTCTTGCGCTTGTAATCCTAGCACTTTGGGAGGTCTAGGTGAGCAGATCACTTGAGGCCAGGAGTTCAAGACCAGCCTGGCCAATGTGGTGAAACTCAGTCTACAAAAAACACAGAAATTAGCCAGGTGTGATGGTACGCCTGTAGTCCCAGGTACTTGGGAATCGCTTGAACCTGGGAGGAGGAGATTGCAGAGAGCCGACATCGTGCCACTGCACTCTAGCCTGTGTGCCTGAGCCAGACTCTGTCTCAAAAAAAAAAAAAGAAAAGAAAAAGAAATGGTAATGTTTAAATATCAAGCACATATTGGATGTTGGAGGATTTTTGCTGTTTGTTGCTGTATTTCTTAATGTTCTTTATGAAACATAAGCAAATGTAATTTTTATGGCAACTAATAAACCATTAACACCTCTTTTTAAGTATGTGAACGTAAATCATGCCACAAATCTTCCAAATGAAAATAAACCATCAAATTTGTTTTCTACTTCTCCCATAGCCAGAGTGTATCTACACTGAGCCAAAAGTATTTATAATTAGCATTAGTAAGACTAGAACTGTTGAGTAGTTAACTAGTGGCTTTAGCAAATTCGCTACTTCCTACACTCTTGTTATAAAGTCCTTTATAAATGGAAAATTGTAATATATCTTAAATTATTTAGCTTTGGGAATTTCCAATAAGTTTTTTCTTTATTTCAAATAAGGCATTCAGTTGTCTCATTCCTATGAAAGAAATCTTTAAGTGTTTTTCCTATCTTGTACTTAGTTGTTTTAGACTTGAATTTCTAGGAATTAAATCAGAGTTGAAGAGAGGTTGAAGACAGATATGTCTCCATGTGTATATTTTAGAAAGGAAACTTGTCTTATTTTCATATGTCATTTTTAGATTATTTGTTAAATCATATTTTATATCTTTATGTTAAAAGTAGCTTTTTCCAAAAGTTACTGTATATAAGTATTTTAAATTTTATTTACAACTAATAGTTATGGGATTCCTATTATATGTTAGTCCCTGAGGACCAGGGGTACAGTAGACCTGTTCCTGCACTCCTCTTTCCTGGAGAAAAGCTTTTGCAGATAACTAACCCCATCATTTCTGCAATACAGTTGATAAATGCTATGGAAGAAAATAGAGTATTATTTGGGCATATAATAGAGGATGTACTCCCCCCTCCCTGACCCAAGAGTAGGGTGGTAGGTTGGGAAGGACTTCCCTGAGGAAGATACCTTTTTTTTTTGAGACACAGTCTCACTCTGCCACTCAGCCTGGAGTGCAGTGGCATGATCTCGGCTCACTGCAGCCTCCGCCTCCTAGGTTTAAGCTATTCTACTGTCCCAGCCTCCCAAATAGCTAGGATTACAGGTACACACCACCATGTCGGGCTAATTTTTGTATTTTTAGTAGAGACAGGATTTCACCATGTTGGCTAGGCTGGTCTTGAACTCCTGACCTCACTGATCCACCCGACTTGGCCTCCCAACGTGCTGGGGTTACAGGCAAGAGCCATTGAGCCCAGCCAGGAAAACACTTTAAACTGAGATCCTCAGGATAAGAAGAAGTTGGCCTGGTGGGTGTAGTAAGAGAGAGTATTTCAGACAAAAGAGAAGGTGCTAGGTGTATAAGTCTTCAGGCTGGAAGGAGCATTTAAGGAACTGAATGAAGGCAGCAGTGAGGTGAATGAGACAGACATTGGCACTGGCTGAGGTACAGAGGCAGGCAAGGAACAGATTGTGTAGGTCCTTGGAAATCATCTTCAGATTTAGACATTTTCTTAAAGCAAATGACCATTCCATCCCCTGTGGCATTCAAATCTATTTAAATCACCTCAATCACCTTTATACACTTTGTTATTCCCTTCCAGCATCCCGCTTTAGCTATCCATCTTTCAAGTTGATTCTTCAATAGCTCCCTATGTCATTATTCTTTCTTCTCAACAGCTTTTCTAGTCTATTGAGATTTGTGCTTTCCCATAATCTATCAGAAGTCTCCTTCCTTCATTCCCTTCCCCTTATCCAATTTACATTTTGTA